CATTATTACTATTATTGTTACTGTAATTATTTTATTATTATAACTTTTATTATTTTTTACTCGGAATCGAAGAAAAAATTGAAAAAGGCATCCAACGCGATAGCAGGATGGGCTGTTTAATATGTGAACTTTACGTCCAATTTAGGTACCAATAGTATAATAAGTTTAAACAAGCAGTAGCCGGAAAGAGATTTTAACGGAAAAGGATGAAACAGGGACGAGTTAAAGGCAAGGATCAGGATTAAATTGATGAGGTAATCTCACTCATATATGAATGTAGGAAGGAGCGGTGGGCTTGAAGCCTGAAAAAGGGAAAAAACCTGAAAAACACAGGAAATACAAGTCGTTGCTCTTCGCTGCGGAGAAGTCTAACAAGGGAGGTCTTTCAGGGCAAGGTGTGCTTTTTGAAAACGGTTTAGTACATGTTGTGGGGAAAAAGAAATTGTGAAATACGCAGGAAATACGAGCCTTTTGCTCTACGCTGCGGAGAAGTTCAAAAGGCCGGCAGGGAGATGAGAGATAATGTGAGCGCGGAGAGCGCTAGAGAAGTAAGAGAGAGCATAGCAGATCAAGTTAGCGACGCAGACAAGATATCGAGCGGTGGGCGGAGCGTGTCGCAACAGGTGGAGCGTGTCAAAGTTCTTAGCGCCTAGCGTCTAAGTAACGCTTTTCGAAGTAGGGAAGTGACGCGACCTCTACACTTGCGTACCTAGCGCTTCTAGCCACAGTAAAGGCTCATTAAGTGGGTCTGAGCCCGAACTTTGCCTTTAAGAGCAACGCGTTGTAATATACAAGGGGCAATAAAAAAAGACATTTTGTCTCCAGACTCAAATGGATTTAATCACACTTTGCTCAGCTCAAAGCGTGTGCTCCCAACTTAGAATTGAAGAGCGCATTTCATTTCATAAGAAAATCTTCATAGTGGCCATCTACGTGGACGGCATCAGAAAAGTTTGCCCCGGAAACATGGTGCTCTGGTCGAGCTCAATGGGGTTCTCGACTGATCGTGTACCGTTACGACGGGTTCCGAAGGGCGGGTTCCGAGGGGGTTTGCATAGTTAGAGCTAATGTCCCTAGGAAACTATCCCACGTTGAATCGATCCAAGAAATTATGTAAGAGCTTCAGGCTGAAGCAGTTACTGTAGGCCTCCCTGAGCTCGACGACGGTGACAGATGACGTCATATTCTGAAGACGGTGAGGGTAGTGAAGGAGGGCCTGCGTGTACTATAGAGGGACATTTAGGGAATATTTTGCTGAGGAACTTCCGTCAACGACGGCAATCTCTGCGAAGAAAAAAGGCCGAAGTGCGACCTGGGCAAAATGTTTTTTTGTCCCCTGTATATGTAAAAATAAGCCGAAGTAGATAAATATTAATCTATGAATTCTGTGTTCCTTGTTTCCATATTTCTATGTAAAAGTAATGACCAAAAATTACTTGCCATGAGATATTCGGACATTTCAAAAACGATAAAAAATGTCACCTTGTGCGAACTCGTCGACGTCGATGGTACCGAATTGTCGTGCGAACGTCCGGATGTTCAGGCAGTGTTGTCGAAGCGGAGATGCGTTAGCGGTAAGACTTTTCGTGGCCTGTTAAAAACGTGCTCGTGCTAATGACAGCGCCGTAGAACCATCTCAAAATTCTCACCTTGGTCCGTCGAACTCGTTTCACCTTCTTGATTTTCCTCGAACGAGATTTTGACTTTCGTGGCTTATGTTCAACATGTTCGACATTTGGCTCATCCTCCGATCTGTAGAACTCCCGATTGATTTTGTTCAAACGAAGAATTTTCCGCTTGAACGTCATAGCAGTACTGGACTCCTGCAATGAAATCCTATTTGAGAGACATAGTAAAGACCAATGCTCGCCGATGATCTGACCATTTCATCCTCCTGCTGACGTGAGTCCTCCTTTGACCTTGCGTAGCTGACGTCTCTTCGTTCATCGTCCATCCTTGTTCTGAAAAGAGGGCCTTCTACAACATGTACTGTCAACGTAGCAATAAAATGCTAGCAATACGAGCCTTGTTTTTCTCGACTTGCCAGTCTTTCGGCTCCTTCGCCTCTTTTTTGGCGGTTCCGTGAAATCCTCATCGACCTCCTTTTTCTCCTCAAGACTCTCGAGATCCTTCGAAACCACTTCATCATCCGGTTCAAACTGAAACGAAAGGGATTTTGACAAGATTTCAAGCTTCGCATACCATTTTACTGACCCTCACCCTTTTCCATGTCTTGGAAGCGTGAGCGCGCCTCATTCCGGCCGGCGACATACTCGGCACTCGGTGTAGGTACCGCTGCAAACATTTGAACAATTTTTGGGAATGACATTCCTTTTTTGGTGACGGTTAAGATTTCCATTACTCTTTGTACACACAAAATTAGGGATTTCTTCAAGGATGTAGGATTTTGGGAGAAGGAACACATGTTTCTCATGTACGGAGCTTACAATTGCACCCCTCCCCATTGTTAGGGAAGAAGAGTATACGGTTAACACACAGAAGGGAAGAGGCGCATGGGCCCATTCAAATAATGTGCCAGCGTTCGAAAGAACAGCTCCATGAGAACCGCGAACTGGTGGGTCCTGTACTGCGACCCAATAGCGAAGCTATATTGCGCCTTGAGCCGCCTACCCGTGCGGCATAATATACCAATTCCAACTCAGAGCATGGGTCGCGATAGAATTGGTGGGTTATCCCGCTTGACAATGGAATAAGAGCAGCGAAGAGAACCACTAGTGGGAAAATCAATGGGAACCATAAAAAAGAATAAAGAAGAAGATAGAATAAAAATTATGAACCTATCTTTTGTGAGCTTATGAGGTCCTACGGTGAGATGCATCACAGCGGGAAAGAGAATACGCGAGAACGAAGTTCGAAGTAAGTAGAAGTACGTGTACGAGAGAGCGCAGACACGGCGTATGCACGAATGAGTCGAAATAGCAGCGTTCGCAGCAGTAGGGGCAGATTTGTCGCTTGCCTTCGAGTCGCAACAGTGCCACGATTCTTTCGCTTAGGGGACCCACTTACTAACATTCGGGAACAGTTCCTCTCGAGATATAATCGGAACCTCTGCCTTTACGCTCGCATCCGTCCACGGGAGAAAATTCGCTATACGAAATATTCTCGAGCACACTTTTCCTTTTCTCACTCCTCTCTCTTTATATTTCCTTCAAGAACGATACTCTGTCTTCCAGTCTTTGGGATTCCGAGCAAACGAGCGCAATCAATTCGTCATGGTTTTTTTTCGCGATTTCGCAATTTGCATTAGCAAAATGAGCGGTAATGGACGTGCACTATCGTTCCCAGGATACTGGGTTATGAACAAAACCTTTGCCCAACGCTGACTTCAACCCGCGCCTCTCGCCTTGCGAATGCTGAATTAGGACGAAGCCTTGTGAATGCTGAATTAGGACGAAACGGTGGCGTAACGTGTAGCGCACTTGCCCGGTAAGCGAGAGGTGCGGGTTCTAGTCCCGCCTGGGGCGAAAGTTTTGTTCACAACCCAGCATTCTTGTGAAACCTTCGCAAGGCGATCTGTGGCCTTAAAATGCATACAAACAATACAAGTCAAACCTAGTTGCTATCGTTTCACTTAAGCTCTTACTGTACTCTTTGCGTTGAAGTGGCAGTTTTGCGATAGGCCGAGTCAACCAAACAATTTTGCGCGTTGCGCAACGCGGGTTTCCTGATCCGGAAGGTCTTTCAGAGGATGCCAAGCCTTTTCAAACGGTATTTTGCATGATTTAGAGGCACATGCGGGAACCACGAACCATGGTTAAATTTTTCCTGAAGGTCAGAAAGGGGGTCCCTAGTCACACCTTTTTCACCAGTTTTTCAATCAAAGTCTATTTGTAAGGGTTACTGACGTTCCTAATCATGAATTTGGTACTAATTATTCATGCTAACTCCATTTTGCGCGAATTTGGAAACGTCAACACGAAATGCAAAAACTTGTCACCACGAGGAATCGAACTAGGGACCCCTTTTCTGGTATTCAGAGAGCCGTTCAGGAAAAATGAACCATGCTTCTGGTCGTCCCCATATGTGCCCCAATGTCATGCAAATACAACCATTCTGAAAAGCTTGGCATACCCTGATCGACCTCCCTTGTAAGCCCGCCGGCCTTAGCGGAAGTGGTTTAGCAGCATGTGGCATTGCTTACCACGCGCACGATCCGGCGATCGAACCTGGGTCGTGCGTCATTTGGGCCAAACCAGCCTTCCAACCCTCCGGGGTCGGTTAATTGTAATAGATTTGTCTGGGAGGATGAAAACACTGACTTAAACATCGGCAGCCCTCGCCCGCAAGTCACTGTATAGGCCAAAACGCATTCACCGACGTTATCTCCATAATAAAGGTGATTAATTCAACACGCAGATGCTTATCCTTGTCCTTTAACTCTGGCCCTACCCGATGCTGGCTGAATGCTGTACATGTAAATGTGTGTTCACAAACCCCCCACGTAAAAAGTGAAAATTAGACGGTGCCGCGTCTTATGAAATCTTATTCGCGCTGTTTAATCAGTATAAGGACTGGTTCTCTCATCGAAATGACCGGTGTCAAATCACTTGTTTTGCTACAACTGACCGCGCGGCTATCGCGCTAGACATCCGGTAGCAAAGAGATCTAGTTTTCCTTGCGGGAATCTTGACGACGACAGCGAAGCCGAAGTAACATGCGAGAAATGTCTACAGCAAGAGAAGAAAATATCTCTTGAACATACATATTGAGATAATCAAAACAGAAGCTAAAACGGTATCAAAATTTTCCGTGGGGGAGGGGGCGTTCCCGAGTTTTTTTTTTGACACTGCCGACATAACCTTGCCGGTAACTTACCGTTTCCGGCATTCTGCGGATCATTGTGCGAAATTCGTCCATGGTGGGCTTGACTGATGGCGCTTGCTCTTCTTCGTCGACGTACTTCGTCTTCTTCAAGACTTTCTTTATCTTCCTCGACTTCCGCAACTTTCGCTTTCGCGGCGGCGATGGGTCAATCTCCTGAATGATATGATAAGCGATTCTCTAACAACTAGGCTATGTATTTATTAGCTTTATGAGACTTTCAGATTAACCCAGCGCTTACCAGTCTGTGTCGCTCCAAGGCCTTCTTCAATTCCTCGTCGTGCTTCAAATGCCGGAGTGCATTGGTTTCGTCATCGCTGGCCTGCTCCACGCGACTGTCCACTGTACGAATACGAAGTGGACTCTCCTGCACAGTCTGGAACGGTTACTCTCGAGGGCTTTGGCTCGAATCGGTTCTAGCAAGCACTCACCTTCATCACCTGTTTGGGAGGGACGACGGCCTCCTCGTGGAATACACGCGCTTGTCTCCTCTGCTCCTCATCGCTTGGCAGCTTTGTGGTATAAAGCGACTCCCTTGGTGTTGTCGTTTGCAGCTTGAACCTGGAAAGCTCAACTTGGAATGAAGAAAGTTGGTGGTCACCGAAAGGCTAGAGCTGCTCACGTTGAAGCACTGGACGACTGAATGACTACTGGATCGCTTTGAGGCAGTTGAGCGACACGCTGTCCGACATCGACACTTGACGAGGGCCTCACGAAGCGTGAAGGATAGATCTGATCGGGTTCATTACTTGTTGAACTAAGTGCCCCTCAAAATCTCTCAAGTACTCACCGATGACCTCGATGCTGGCTCTTTATCAACGTCGTTTTTCTGGAATACCTCTACTGGCGGTGGAAAGGTCGGAGCGGAAACGGAGTAGTCTGCCTGCACGATGTTCTGAAGGCATCGTATGTGATCGAAAAAAGTCACAGCTACTTCTACTTCGTTTCTTTCTAATGGCGCATAATTGCTGAGCTGAATTGGAAATTGAATTGGTGAAACCTTCTTCGAAAGGTGGGAAAATTTAGTGGTATCTAACCCTCCTTTAGAAATTGTCGTACATAACTCCGAACACTTTGTAAATATCCATGGTCTGATGACGGTTTACGGCTACCGTGAACTTCTTCTATGCTCCTGCCACGAATTCAAGTACAGGCGACTAGAGAACGGCGCCTGGTTCGGCTTTGAGGTGCAAGCCCTCTAGTAGGCCTTCGAGGCGGAAACAGGGGGCTCTGGGTTGTGGGATCCAATTACACCTGTGGCAAAAAATTTTGAATGTGTGAGATCGCAATAGTCGTGAGCCGCCGTTTAGGCGAGAGAGCGCAGGTGGGAGCTCCAAATTTGAGGCGGTTTGAGGGACCGAGTTCAAGTAGGCCATCGACCGACTGATACTACACTGGTGTGCAAAACTTAAGGACGAGATAGATGCCGAAACCTAATTTATTTGTGGCTTTGTGGTCCTTTTGACAGTTGCCTTTATATGCTTTTTGTATTGTACTGGAGCAGTTCCTTCTAATTGTGGTTAGGTTCTAACATGGAGCTGTTTACTCGTCACTAATGTACGTACGGTCATAGAAGAATTGGTTCGTTTCCTAGGTTTTTGCACGACCAGTGTGCGTTACGGCTTTGTATGATAACACGAAGTTTTGACATGTGCATTTTCAAAGTTTATTATTCAGAAGAAGAAATTAAAGACATGTAAAAGTACATAACTGTTTTTTCCTGGCTGTAGTAGTAAATCCTCCAAGGCTAGAACTATCAACCGTTTAAGAAAGAAAACCTATACAGGATGGGTCCAGATCAGTGGAACTACTGATCGGGCTTCATTATTTGTTAAACTAAGTGCCCCTTCAAAATCTCGAGTTCACGAAGCATCTTCGCTTACGCTTGGGAACTAAGAGGCCTTTTGAACAAGTCTGGTCATTGGGAAGCCCCATATTGCCATCTGTTCAAAGACCAATTTTAGGGTATTTCGTTACCGTTTCCCAGTAAAAAACCACCCACAAGGGAGGTCTTTCAGGGCAAGTGCGCTTTTTCAAAACGGTTTTGTGCATATTGTAGGGACGCATGTAGGGAACGCAAAACCATGTTTCATTTTCGCTGAACGGTTATAGCAGTACCAAAAAAGAAGCATAAGGTACTGTTAAGGGTTCGATCCCCCGTGGCGACTAAATTTTGCATTTGGGTTGGCGCCTACGGTTTGGTGCCAAATCGCGCTAAATATCAAAATCAGATGTCAAATTCATCGTCAGGACCATTTTGAAGCCAACAAGTGGCCGCCAACCTTGATTGCAAAATTTAGTCGCCGCGGGGGATTGAACCATCAAGAGTATTATTCACCACTTTTTTGGTACTACTAAAACCGTTCAGCGAAAACGAAACATGGTTTTGTGGTCCATACATGCGTCCCTACAACATGTACTAAACCGTTTCCAAAAAGCGCACCTTGCCCTGAAGACCTCCCTTGTCAGTTCGCCTGAAGGCACACTGGAACACTAAGCTTCGATTAATTTGCATTAACTTCTCAGCGCTGGGAATTCTGGAGCCCTGCAAAAAAGCTCAGGAACGCAAGGATCCCTACGGGCTGCCGTGCAAAGTGATCTAAAGACAGAACTCGAAGGACACCTACTGGCGCATCAACTGGCGCATGATTTCGCGAAGCATCTCGAGGCCAAATCTGCATCAAAAAGAGCTCGAAGTAAATTGAAGCACAAATTGAATATCGCTCTTTATTACGCAGTGGTTGTTGTGTTACAGTATCAGATCGAACTGGTGTCTCAATCCAATCAGATTCCCATTATTCCGAAACAGCGCTCCCAAGTCCTGTACCAAATAATACGCATAACTAGTGTCTGGAACATATTGCCGCTGCTTGCCAACTTTGATTTCACCCTCTATTTTCGGGTCCAGCCGGAGATGCTTTTGAATTTGTAGGCAGTGTTTACAAAGGATAACCCACAGTTATAATGGAGCCTAATTAGCTTTGATAATGGGCTTCAAACCCGCAGAATATAATAATCTACTCCTGGAAGTGCGGACGGAAATTGACATTTGGCGCTGGGGGATATTTTTATAAGCCACCTTCTGACCAGAAAGAGTTTTAGGCTTATAACATAGGCTTGGTATTACACCACGAACGGTGCTCACCCTCATGTCGCCTCGCCCCCCCCCCCCCCCCTCTCAGAAAGCATGGTCGCTCGTGCAAGTACCATGTTTTAGCGTGAAACAAGACGGAGATAACTATCTCGGCATAGCCGGCGGCTAGCAGGAACCAAGCGGAACCTAAGGCTTGTCTATAAGTTTTTCAAGCGTTTCGATCCGTGGCGTGCAGCGGCGGGCGTTTATTGACAACCGTAAAATATGAATGCTCAGTTGTAGCACACGGCGTGAGTGATACCCGTTTAGTGCAGGAAAACGCGCAAAATCGGTTAGACCCGACCGTGCATAGATGGGTTTCTCACCTTAGGCTGAAGTAGTCGTTCCTGGACAAATGACGAGGATTTTTGCAGTGATGGAGAATTAATTGAGGACATAGCGCCGCCCGACATCACCTGGCCGGGGACGATCAACACTTGCTGGTAGTACCTAAAAGGCTATGTCACTTGAGGGTTTCGTCAACTTTTGTCAAATTATTGTGTACCTGAAAAACTCACGTTTTCCCATCTGGCTGCACAATCGGTTGATAAACATATTGTGGTCGCACGTTGGAGTGAGCTAGGCTGAAAGAAATTCCTTAAGGGGGTTCGCAAGTTGGAAATCAACTTGTAGGTACCCAGTGTCGCTTTCCACGACGGGTAGAGAGGAGATGGTGCCTTGAGGTACATCCGACGAGATGGGCGCAGGCGGCATTGGTATGGGTAGGGGTGCTGTTGTAGAAGCTGCATCGACTTTTGAGAAAATACTGTAAGAGAGTTCATGTGACCTTGTAACCAATCGATACCATACCCCTCAATGAGAACTCACTCTCTGATAGAAATCAGTGTCGGATCCTTCCTGCTGTGTTTTTTCTTCTTCCTCGGCTTCTCCTCTTCCTCTCCGGAATCATTCTGCAGTATTTGATGGTATCAGTGCACCCAATTATTACAAAACCTTGATCACCTACCTGATTCCCGTCCTCGTCCTCGTCTTCAGAGCTCCTGTGGACCTTTCTAAAGTATGAGTTTTTATTAGATGATGACGAATCAGCTCTGGGGATAGTGACCCAGGATCTCAAAGAACTTCGGAGGTCCCATAGGGTCTAATTCATCGCATTGCACACTACCCTTAGCTGTGAATTCAGGGACCCTGGGGACCGTGCTTGGTGAAATAGGCGCATCAGATCCTAATGGCTGATGATGGGAGTGAGGGGTAAAAAAGCATCTAGGCCTCTTCTGGATATGTTTAGAAGTTC